CACACTAAAAAAGCTTTTTTCCCATAAAAGAGCAATTGCGGGCATCTTTTTAAAGACGACACGTTGCCTGGCAAACTTGACGTTATGTCTTTGTAAAGACGATGTGGGTCTTGCTATAGACAATGTATCACCCAGGCGTTTCTGGATGCGTCGTTACCTGACACTGGGTGATGGTCACGATTGCTGCCTCACATGCATGGGCATTTAGCACGCTGAGGTGGCGTTTGTGGATGAGTCATGTTCTCATTGCGGGAAAATGATCATCTCGGAGTCAAGGGGCCAAGCTCCGTTACCTCAAAGGGGCGGAGCTCCGTTGCCTCTGCCTCGATGTAGTTCTCGTCATGGCGGCAGTCAGGCGGGGGCTACTTCAGGCAGTAGCCCTCCGGGACTGTAGCAATGCCTGAATCGGATCCGGAAATAACGGCTATGCTTTCCCGGGCCGCTGTGAGGGTAGGGCTCGAGTGGAGACCTCCACCATGTCCCGAGCCCTCAAGGTTGGACGACTGGTTATTCGGGGTGGTCCGCGCTGGTTCTCAGCACCACGTCCCAGTGCCATTCTTCCCGGAGGTGCATGCAGGGCTTACCAGGTTGTGGATGGCACCTTTTTCTGCCGGAAACTGATCTGCTAACTCCTCCTCCCTCACCATTCTCAACGGTGGTGCAGCTAGGGGGTATACGGGGGTCCCCCCGGTGGAGCAGTCGTTGCGATGCAGTTGTGCCCTAATGCCGCCTCCACCCGGCAGGGCAAACCGTGCCTCCCCTCCCGGGTCTGTAGGTACTCGTCTGGTCTGTCCAGCAATGCTTATACGGCCTGTGGGGAAGCTGCCTCCGCATTACACGCTACAGCGTTACTGCAGGTTCTTCAGGCTAAAGCACTGAGGGACCTGCACGAGGATGGACACGATCTGGAAATTCTAAAAGAGCTCAGAACCGCAAGTGATCTCGCGCTCCGAGCGACGAAGGTCACCGCGAGTTCTCTTTGTCGTGCGATGTCCACACTTGTGGTCTAGGAGCGTCACCTCTGGTTGTGTCTGGTCGACATGAGGGCCTGCTCGTCGCCGAGGGCGGCCCCCTGCGTCCACCCCTGCTCCTGTGCCACATCCGCAGCAGCCTCAAGCAAGCGGCGCAGTGGAACTGGGCGTAGGCAGGCCGCCCCGCCCGTCCAGGCCGCCGTCTACCTGGAGGTGAGCGGAAGAGCAAGAGGCCTCGGGACGGGCAACCCAGAGAGAGAGGGAACTGCTCTTTGGGGGATGGTTAATGCACCTCTCCCTCCCCCGGAGGAGGGCCGGGTGGAGAATCTGGTTTCCAAAAATTTCGACAGGAGAGTGGTTTTCTCTGTCTCTGGGTCCCAAGAGGGCATGGAGATTTGCAGACGGACCAACACCAGACCACACTAATCCTCCTCTCTCGCCAGCAGGCAGCAGCGGGCAGTTCGAGAGCGTCATCAAAGGCCCTACTCACGCACCGTCTGCCAAACCGTGGAACCAGGTAAGTGTTGCACTGCACACTCAGACCCCTCTTCAGGTTCCTGCATTCCACCTCGCTGCCCCATCGCGGGTACATCGGTGGTCCCGCTGGTCCAGCTTGTGTGGTGTCTGGGTGCCTGGCTACCCAAACCGCCTCGCTGGCTACTGCGGACCTTCAGACTCGGCTATGCGATTCAGTTCGCCCGGCGTCCCCCCAAGTTCAGCGGCATCCGCTTTACATCAGTGAAGGCGGCTGATGCTCCTGTCTTGCGTGCGGAGATCACAGTCCTACTGGCAAACGTTACGACCAATCTTGGACCTGCGTGTCTTAAACCGGGCCCTTCACCGGTTACCGTTCAAGATGTTAACGCAGGAACACATCTTCGGGTGTATCCGTCCCCGAGATTGGTTTGCAGCGATTGACCTGAAGGGCGCGTACTTTCATGTGTCGATCCTTCCGCACCACAGACCATTGCTGCGGATCGCTTTTGAAGGACGAGCATATCAGTACGAGGTCTTGCCCTCCGGGCTGTCTCTGTTGCCCCATGTCTTCATGTAAGTTGCGGAGGCAGCCGTTGTTCCCCTGAGAGAACAGGGCGTTCGCATTCTCATCTACCTCGACGACTGGCTCATACTAGCTCAGTCTCAGGATCAGTTGTGTGCACACAGGGACTTGGTGCTTTCGCACGTCAGCCGGTTGGCTCAACTCATTGGCGCAGAGGATCTCTTTTGGATTCGGTCGAGCACGCCTCATGCAAGGACGTGCTCAGTTGGTGTTGAACTGGCTGAATATGTTCAATCACAGGACAGCGGTCCCACTGAAACAGTTTCAGAGGCTGCTGGGGCATATGGCAGCTGCAGCGGCAGTCACGCCGCTGGGGCTGCTTCATATGAGACCGCTTTAACACTGGCTCCATGACCGAGTCCTGAGGTGGGCGTGGCTATGCGGCACTCACTGGGTCCGAGTCACACCGGCCTGCTGCCAAACTTTCACCCCGTGGTCAGACCCTTCGTTTCTCCGGGCATGTATGCCCCTGGAACAGATCTCCAGGCATGCCGTGGTTTACATGGATGCCTCCACCTCTGGCTGGGGGGCAATGTTCAACGGGCTTGCAGTGTCGGGGGTTTGGACGGGCCCCCAACTGCACTGGCACATCAATTGCCTAGAGTTGCTGGCAGTACACCTGGCCTTGAGCCGTCTCAAGAGGCGCTTATGAGGCAAGCGCGCACTGGTCCGCACGGACAACCCTGCGACCGTTGCGTACATCAACCGACCAGGTGATCTACACTCCCATCGCGTGTCGCCACCTGTTTGCCTCTCCAGAAACCTCTCACTGCCAGTTGTTCTTCGCCCTGACCGAGGGGACACTCGGCACGGACGCACTGGCACACAGCTGGCCGCGGGGCCTTTGAAAGTATGCGTTCCCCCCAGTGAGCCTTCTGGCACAGTTGCTGTGCAAGGTCAGGGAGGATAAGGAGCAGGTCCTGCTCGTGGCGCCTTACTGGCCCACACAGAGGTTCCCGCTACTCCCTTCAGGGATCAGGTGGTGAACCTCCAAGCGCTGCCCTCGGAGGAGGCAGACCCAGCCCTAGCTTTGCTTTGTCCTGTCCGAGCATTGAGATGCTACGTAGACAGAACGCAAAGTTTCAAGACCTCAGACTAGCTCTTTGTCTGTCACGGAGGCTGGCAGAAGGGGAATGCCGTCTCTAAGCAGAGGATGGCCCAGCTCCTCCGTCCCCTCGGCAGCCAGACGTGGCGGAGCGTCCGGTACCAGGCCCTCACTCGATGAATCCGTGAGAACCGGTGGAGGGCTGGGTTCCATATGTAGAGACCTAAGTGGATCCCATATGTGTAAATTCCACGGTATAGCTTCAGAGCCCGTGTTTCCCTGACAGACATCCTGCTATTTTCCAAGAGGGTTACAATCACCTCTAATCTTCCATATGCTCCTAGACGGTTGTTCTTATGTGTAAGTGCTTCCAAAACCTCCTTCGGGAAGGATGGGCTTCCGCAACATTCTGGTTCCAAGTGGAACAGGCACGTTGTCCCAGTGTTATCCAGTCTTACTGAGTGGGTAGTGCCATAGCAGCAGTAACTGGTCTTCTTGTGGTAAGCCCCGGCTTACGCCAAAAAGAAGGGGCGCAGGAGGCTTCCACAGGACACTGGAAGGGGCAGTATCCGTAGCACTTTTGGTAGGGATCCCAATTCGTCGGTCATCCGACGTTACGTCGAGGGTGACCGACTGAAAGGAAACGTCTCGGATATGTACCACCGCTGAGCGGCCGGGTCACCGGCTCGGCTCCTCAGCGAAAACCTGAATATGCGCTGCATCTGCTGCCAACTTATACTCACGCTGTGATCAGCGGCAGCTGGATGCAATAATCGCATGCCAATGTGCATTGGCTCGTTTAGTTTACACTCTAAGTGAGATCCCAATTCGTCTGTCATCCGACGTGACATCTCCGTTCCCTCCTTCAGGGAACGAGGGTTACATACGTAACCGAGACGTTCTACTGAACTTTCTATTCATCAAAGAAACTTGAAAAAATACTACTCAGCTGTTTTCAAAATAATAATAATAATAATAATAAATGTTTTTTGAGCAGCAAAGCAGCATATTAGAATGATTTCTGTAGGATCATGTGACACTGAAGACTGGAGTAATGATGCAAAAAAAAAAAATCAGCTTTGAAATCACAGACATAAATTACATTTTAAAATATATCGAAATAGAAAGCAGTTATTTTAAATAGTAAAAATATTTCACAATATTACTGTTTTTGCTGTATTTTGGATCAAATAAATGCAGCCATGGTGAGCAGTAGAGAATTCTTTAAACAAACATTAAATATCTTACTGTTGAAAAACTTTTGACTGGTAGTGTAAATCATTTTATGTAAGTAATCCATAATAATGGTATAAAGATTAATTGACTTACATTACAAGCTACCAGAATTTAATCTTGTTTTTTAGTCATATAAATATTAGCATCTGTACCATAATGCATATTTTTCCTCAGTTTTGGCCTCTGAATAAAGTTGAGATGTTTTTTCATCCTTGAGTATGAGCTCCGTATCATACTACACTGTATAAAGTGATAATCTGCAATTGTTACCTAGGTAAAGAGCATTTTACCTGATTTAACTCATAAAAAAAAAAAATTGGGGTATAAATTAAAGTATTTCATATGTCAGGTCAAATTACTGTATAATAAATCAAATGTCCATCTTTTGTGAATTTATTCAAACTCACCTATTTCTTGAATTTGCTCCTCATCCTCTTGCTCATCTTCCTCCACCTCATCCTCGTCTTCATCATCCTCCCCCTCTCTTTCTTCTTCTTCTTCTTCTTCTTCTTCCTCATCTTCCTCCACCACTTCATCTTCTTCCTGCTCCACCTCTTCCTCTTCTCCATTAATCACTTCTACCTCTTCCTGTTCATATTGGTCCTCATTGTCTGTATATTCCTCCTCCGCTTCCTCTTCATCTTCCTTTTCCTCTTCCTCCTCCTCATCCTCTTCCTCATCTTTTTCATCCATCTCCTCAATTTTGTGCGTGTTATAGCATTTCTCCATTGGCTGTTGGTCTATGACTGTGAGAAAGACCTTCCTCTTGGGCGAGGGCTCCAGGGCATGACTCTCCAGGGGTTTTCTCTTCTTGGCGACAGGACAGCCATACACACTGGACATGGAGAGATAAGAAAAGGGCAATTAACAAGCTGGCTTGCGATTTGCTGGGCTTTAGCACAGTCCATTGTGCTCAAGACCAGACTACAGCATTTACGCCGCACAGGCTGAAGGAGTTTTGAATTGGGACAAATACAGCAGGCTGCATGCCAAATCATTTATGGGTTACACTAGTGGAACAATCCATAGACCTTAGTCAGGGTAGACGCCATTTTTAATTTGCAGTGAATGACAACAAGACAATATGGCATATTATGCTCATTTACAAGTTAATAATTTGATTTTGGGGCTCTGCTAGAACAGATTTACATGACTTAAATTTCAATAAATACATTATTTTTCGTCATGCTGCAGCACCTTTTTTCACCGTCTGCTCTGTTTTAGTTCCTGTCTCTTTAAATCCCACCTTTCCAAAAAGCCCAGTCTGCTCTGATTGGTCAGCTGGCACAGTCTGTTGGTCAAGAGGTGATTGGTCAAGAGCGTGTGTTGGAAATGTAAAGCCCCTTCACATAATAAGTCAGCTCAGAGGCTTAATGAGCAGCTGTAAACATTTTAATCTACAGGATATAGAGTCAGTATTGGAAGTTCATAAAATGGTTTTTGGCCTTACAGCGAAAAAAAATTAAAGCAAGGCAGGACTACAAACAATGTATTTCAGGGAAGTGGTTTCTGTTGGAGAGATGAACTCCCTATATGCCGACTTTATGCTTTGTAACTTGTCAGATTATTTATAAGCACAAACAGCTATATTACACATTAAAGGCAGTAGTGTGTTTAGGCACCACACAAACCACACAATAGCGTGTCTACTGAGGGGGACCGCGATGGCGGTAGGCGGTAAGAGTCTCCACCACTTTACACAACAGCACAACCTGCTAAACAGATTATATGACTGACCATCTGCTTAAGTTTTTATTCAATCATTTTTTATTATTATTTTTAAATTAAATATTACATTTACAGTAAATATACTGACTAGAGTCCATAATCAAATAACCTCAATTATTATAACATGCATAACATTTTGTTTCAAAAAGTCTAGAGTTTTGTCATATTTATGTTATGTTATTTGAATAAATCTATCTAATAGGTAGCAATTCACTTCATGATAAATAATGTGAAATACAGTAGAATAATACTGAATAATAATTCCAATACAATATACCTATACAATAGTTTGTGTTGAATTCCTGTCCATTAAATCACAAATGCCCTGGTAACTTTAACAGTCAAGTACTCTCACCCTCTCTCTCTCTCTCTCTCTCTCTCTCTCTCTCTCTCACAGACACACACACACACACACACAACACCTTGCAGCTGTGATATTAAGAGGTGATTAATTGCATTTTATACCTTCAGCAAATATATATTTTATAGATCCTCCCAGCAGCAAGAGCAGGTGTATCGATCTAGTGTTCAGACCAGCAGACATGAGTCCTTTTCATTTGAGCCAGGGAGAGTGAGTAACAACCAATTTCCTTTAAAGGTGTAATTCTCCCAAAAATGAAAATCCCATCATCACTTATTCACCCTCATGTTGTTCCAAACCTGTATGTGTTTCTTTCTTCTGCTGAACACAAAATAAGATATTTTGAAGAATGTTGGAACTCATACAAACTCATAGAGGTTTGGAAAAACTTGAGGGTGAGTAAATGATGACAGAATGTTAATTTTTCAGGCCGTCTGATCATTTTTCTATCTATATATCAATCTGTCCATCCATCCATCATCTATCAATCATCTTTCTATCCATCCATCCAGAGGGAGTGAATAAGCAGTGCTCTCTTCCACCCTCAATACCACGACTGAGGTGAGACCCTTGAGCAAGGCACTGTACCCCCAACTGCTCCCCGGGCACCACAGCAATATGGCTGCTCACTGCTCCGGGTGTGTGTTCACTACTGTGTGTGTGCACTTTGGATGGGATAAATGCAGAGCACAAATTCCGAGTATGGGTCACCATACTTGGCCACACGTCACTTCACTTCCATCCATCCATCAGTCATCTTTCTATCCATCCATCCCTCCATCCATCAGTCATCTTTCTATCCATCAATCCATCGATCTATCGGTCTACATATCTATGTATCTATCAGTTCATCCATCCATCCATCCATTATTTTTCCATTTATCAATCATCTTTCAATCCATCCATCCATCATCAGTCATATTTTTTATTCATCCATCCATCATCTGTCCATCCATCTATCATCTTTCCATCCATCCATCCATCCATCATCTATCCATCCATCCATCAATCATCGTTCTATCCATCCATCCAGCCACCCAATCATCTTTAAATCCATCCATCAATCATCTTTCTATCCATCCATCAGTCATATTTCTACCTATCCATCCATCCATCCATAATTTTCCATTTATCCATCTATCCATCAATCAATCAATCATCTTTCAATCCATCCATCCGTCATCAGTCATATTTCTATTCATGAATCCATCATCTATCCATCCATCCATCATCTTTCTATTAATCCATCCATCTATCATCTTTCCATTTATCCGTTTGTTCATCCATCCATCAATCAGTCATCTTTCAATTCATCCATCCATCTATCCATCATCAATCATCATCATCAGTCATCTTTCTATTCATCCATCCATCATCTATCCATCCATCCATCATCTTTCTATCCATCCATCCATCCATCCATCCATCTATTCATCCATCCATCAGTCATCTTTCTACCTCTCCATCCATCAATCATCTTTCCACCCATTCATCCATCTATCCTTCAATCCATCCATCACCTTTCTATTTATCCATCTATATCTCTACAAATCTATGTATCTATATGGATGTCCATCCATCCAAAAGCACCACCAATTCCACCACATGTATCTTCTCTCCCTACAAAAGAAAGACGCACATTTTACCCAGCCTCCTCACACTGACAAGCAGCACAGCTCAGGTGCAAATTAACCAGTGTCCATCTGTCAGCCGTCTAGCCGATTGGCAGGTTCCATCTCCCTAGAATGTAAGTTTATTGGGCTGACCCTTCCAACAGGGCACTATTTCATTTGGGAGACCACGACCGGCAACTCATTCCAGGGCTGACATCACGCAAGGCACCCCGGCTCTCCAGGGATGACTCCTCCGTGCTGTCATCAATAGTGCTTGTGACCAAACATCGCAAAAGCACATTAAAATGCCACTCATCCTGTCCGATGGCCTTCCATATAAATCAGAAGCCATTCCCCACAGGCCTGGTGTGAGCGGTCAGGCAGACAGCAAGAGGGAAAAGTGGAGGCGGAGTGTGCTAGTGGTGCGACGGGTTATAACCTGTCTGTCTTATCGCGTTCATGTCAGTTATATAAGTGGGAATTTAGTCCTTGCTGCACATGCGGCCTTCAAAGATGCATTGAACAGTCTGAGAACTAAACTGACATAGTTATAATGAATGTTGCATCATGGTATTCATGATTTCTAACAAATGCAGTCAATGTGGGATGACATGTGAGAAGGAAAGAATCCTGTTTTATTTCTTATTACATGGCTGTCAGGAATACTTGACTCAATTCAATCCCATCATTCTGTGCTCAAATATGTAAGGCATAATGTACAGTCAGCTGGTTACTATTGCAAAACAAACTCTGCTATGTTGCATCGACATCCTAAACGCCCTGTTGTTGTGAGAGTGAGATATAGTGTAAGGACGTTTTTGAGAAAAAAGTGCAAATGGTACTCGCATAAGAGTATGAGCAAGTCTATTAAAGTATGATAAAGATCTTATAATACAAAATTCAGGAAATCTCATCTTATACCCTTTAAGGTATATTGATTTTAATACCAACAGCTTCTTCCTTGGTAGAACTATATGTTTTGTTCTCTCATATTCTCCTGTAAAAGGGTGAAGTATTTGTCTGAGTGAACCCCTAATGATGATGTATAATTTGTAGGGGTGTGAATCTTTGGGTAGAAAGAGAATCATTTAAATTCACAATTCATAGTTTTCAATTCGATTCAGGAACAATTTTTGAAAATTCAATGATTCAGTTCGATCCAACGCAATTCACAATAATATTTGATTCAGTTTAATTAATGACTCTAAGTGAATCTAAAGATTCTAATTTTAAGAAAATTAATAGAATCGTGTACAGTAAATGATCCTAATGTGGCTTGGGTAAGAAAAAGACAAATAAAGATTGTTTATTGCACCAAGCAACCTGGAAGTAAGCACATTAAATGTGTACATAAGGCTTTTTGAAATATAACAAAGAATGCAATGTGCATTATTCTATAACACACACTTGTTTTTAGTGGTGTAACGTTTCAGTCATTTTCTCAGTGCATTAATTACACCTTTAAGAGTCCTTTAACTGATTTGATGCTGAAGGAAAAGCTCCAAATGAAGATCACACAATATATAATAGTGAAAAGAGACACAGCGAGTACTGTACCTGAAGGACTCTAACTAACAAAGAGCTTCCTAAATTAATATGCTTAGTAATTAACTGCAGCCTATTACAGCTTCAGCTGGTCGTTGGCATTATGTGCATAGCTCTGCGTGTTTGATGTGATGAGAATGGAGACAGGACATTAGAATGAAAGATTTGTGAAATGCGTGCATGTTCTGACTGCTGGTATAAAAGCATCTCTTGCTGTGCCACTACACTGCGATCTATATGCGCGAGCGGCAAGAGTGCCGTCTCCATGGTGATCTCCGGCTCAAATCCAAGTGGGATTTGCCATCTTGGCAGGCAGACAACGAGGAAGCCAGCAGGAGTGATTGAAATACAGGAGGGTGGAGAGAGGCAGAGAGGTAAAGAGAACCATAACATTAGGTCTAACAAAACTCTGCTACAAAATGACTCAAACACAAAAGCCAAAAGAAAGAGAAAGTGTGCTCATACTGAGTGTACATATCAGTGCTTCTCTACCATTAAAAAAAGCTTTCAGAGAATGGTTAAGGTCAATGAAGGTCAAAGACGTTCTTTCAGCAACCAACCTGGCCGAATGCATCTAAAAGCACTTTA